GCAGTAGGCACTAGAAATCTAGTCCAGAATAAAAAACTCAGCAGATGTTCACTCTAGGCATGGGTCCAAGCAAAGAAAACTGGGCATTGGCACCAGCCTAACCAAGGAAGCTAGCCCAAGGCAGAGCAGTGCATCTGGCAAATCCCAGATGCTCTATGAGATTCATGTAGAAGGAAGCAGATACCAACTTCCAACTGATAAACCCAAACTTCTGTATGTGGGACAGTGCGTGTGAGTGTGCCATCTTCACCTTTCATTTTAAAGTTGCTTCAGCTCCATGGGACCAACTCCACTTTTGTAAATTGCTTGACTATGATGCAAAATGAGGTTGGGTTATTTCTTCTTTCCCTGTGAAATAAATGCCAGGGTTATTTGAGCCATAGAAACATATTCTACTGCATTCCTGGAAAGCTGAGACTGTTCATGTTACAAAAAAAACTACAGCCATCACAAGATTCCAGTTTCTGCTGGCTAAAGCTGATCTTTCCCAAAGCAACTTCTGCTTGAGAATTGAATGCCTGGCTTGGGATCCAGAGTTTTATTCCCTTGCTCCTCTTTATTTCCTTGCTCAGGGTTGAATGCAGGTTCAGTACACCGGGCAGCCAGTGCTGGCATGAGGTTCTCCTGCCCCACACAATGCCCGTTGAAAGAGGGACCATTGTTCCATCCACAACAGCCAAAGAAGGAGCTCTGTTCCATAGGCACATGATGATCAGAACTTCTGTCCAAGCAGGACATTTATAGAAGCCTGCAATCTATTTCTCTAACACTTGTAGTGTTTCTGCACACAGTGGCGAAGTGACAATGTCTCAAATATATGCAGCTGTGCCTTATTCATTATTTCTGCTGCTGTGCTTTTATTCAACTCTTTTAGTAGGACCAAGGAACAATTGCCAACAGAGTTTCCTCCCAGTGTTGGAGGAGCGCTTCCTGACACGAGCTTTATATAGCAAATGGGTTGTTCAGATCTATCCCCCCCCCCCCCGTGTGTACAAATGGTGTGTTTGCTTCCACACAGTCCATTCTTCTCATTCCTTGGCGTTCACTGCTATCTTGCTGTTTGCCATCCGCACCAGTAGGGGGAGCTTGACTGTTTGTCTTTACTCTGTTGCTTTGTTGCTCTTCCACCTTCTCCCATTCTGGACTTGTATACAGTTCTTGAACTCAATCCGTTCTGAAAGTCCATTCGATTTCCAAAACCTTCCAAAACCAAGGTGCAGCTTCTGATTGGCTGATTGGCCCCAGAAATAATGCCGACAGCCATTCAGCCTCCAAAAAACTTTCACAAACCGGAACACTTACTTTTGGGTTTGTGGCATTCGGGAGCCTATTTGTTCGTCAACTAAGCCGTTTGGGAACCAAGGTACCAATGCACATGTTATTTCTGTACCTGTGCATGTGTACATAAACAAAACAAAACACCAGAAGCAGGCAACTATTACCACCTCGTAGGTAACATTTTTCACAATGGACAAAGCGGAGGCTTGAAGTTCTGGCACTTCAAGACCCATTTCTATGGAGGTCTTGTACAAGCTTGATATCCGGCTATATTTATCTGCTGTTTAATTTTGGGGGAGCAGAGAGGCAGTATAAAAGTCCCCAAGAATACCTTGAAGGACCCCGTAACAGTTGACAGACAATCACACATTTTCCCCACAAAAACGGGGGGGGGGGGGAGAGAAAAAATTAGTCTTCCAGAAAACCCCCATATAATAACTTTTTTAAGGTCAGTTTATGTCCTGTTATCACAGACCTTAAGGCAACCATCAGTTACCCACATTTACTGTGTGGAAATCCTCCTTTGAACTGGGTTGTTGAAATTCGGAGGTGCCATTACATTGCAGCAATCGGTGGAAGTAGGTGTCAAATACACAATTCGGAGTCACACTCACATCATTTGGTATTGGGGGCTAACTAAACCAAATGGCTAGGTTGTGATTTGGTGGTGAACAAATGGGAGTAGGGGATAGTTCTAGAGAACACCCTTCAAAACCTCACCACACAAATATCATGTCCCCAAAATGAGGTGGGGGCTTTCCCCCCCCAGTAATGAGTTCCCACACCAGCAGTGACTATGACAACATAATAGATTTTTTCTTTTTCTTTTTACAAATTGGATTTTTCACAGTAAGGGAAAATCTGGGTTAAAAAAGAGTTGTGCCTGGCATTTTGATGACGATGATGCCATAAAACCTGTATACACGAGCTGCTGAGATTGCAGAATAAATTCCTGGCTGGAAGCGTCCAGAGCCTAGTCTGGAACCAAAATATGTATAGCTTTATGTGTCTGATATTCTGCTTCTAACAACAACAAAAGAGCTCCTGGCTGAACTTGTGAAATGGTAAGAAGCTTGAATAAAAATCAAACTTCGGTAAGACAAGTGTTTTGGCTCAGTGTCTGTTTTCAGACTACATTTCTTTTAGGTTTATTCATAGCATACCAGAAAAGTGGCCCTTAATTATCTACTGGAGGATTTGCTGCGAGTCAGGATTCTCCCTCCCTCCTCCCCCTCTTAACAGGCAAGAAAATAACTCTAAAATTAGCAAATGCTTCACATACTCCATCCCCTCCCCAGGTCTGCTGCTGTTGCTTCAACGTTTGCTTTTTAGAGGTTTCAAGTCACAACTAATGTAGGCTTTAGAAGAGGGGAAAAAAACCTGCCCAACATGTGACTGATAACAGCCAAAGCTAAGCCTGGCAAAACAGATTTAAAAAAATAAAAATAAAAAAATTGTTGCTATATTCAGCTATATTCAGAAGGAGATTTTGCTGAAAACCAGAGAAGGGCTGAGGCGCAGCATTAACAAAAGAGATAATCCTGTTTGATCGTTTCTATTTTGCACAAATACATTTCCATGTGCTTAAGCCGTCATAGAGTGGGAACGGCATGAGCAAAAGGCTGGTTCTGCGTTCTGGACGGATCATTCTAAACTAAGCAAGAAATTACAGATTTGTGAACTGAACACCCTTCCCTTAAGAGTTGTTGTTTTTCTAAGTAGCATGGTGGAGGGTAATGATGGACTGCATTGCAGCACAACAGGATGGGTGGGTAAATCCAATCTCCTTGCCACTTTTATGCCCCGCCCCTTCCCCCAAGTTGCTATTTGCCCTATTGGAGAACCCATATTGCATTCACATACATTTCTCTAAAATGAGTAGGAGGGAAAACTATTTGCACATGAAAACAGTGGGGGAAGGGTTAACACCCTTCTTCACCGTGCACCTTTGGGGTGAAGTCAAACTGTTGAAGGTTACAGTGTTTTGTGTTGTGTATGGACACAACACAAAAAACAGCGACAATTTGTTGTTGACAAATGACAGCTGGACATATAAAGGACCCCATTACCTTCAGTAGCTTAGGGCCTCATGAAACCTAAATCCGGCCCTGTGGAAGAGACGTGTTTTGTTGCAGTTGAGGCAGATGAAGACATCCAGTTGTGCTGCTGCCCTGGTATTTCTAGCCATCATTCCTCCTCTGGTCACTGCTGTGGATAGACAACCTGACTGTTGTTGTACTGTGGTCATCTGCAAGGAATTCCCACAATCTGGGGCTGGAGGCATGGTTGCTATAAAGAGATGCTAGAGCCAGTCACATATCTCAAAAGTCGCAGCTGGTTCATCGCATATATACACAACACCTGATTGACAGTTGCCACTGTCAGCTGGTCACTTGAGGTGGAAGGAGGCTCACTTCAGATTCTTTCTGCCCCCCACTTTTCCTCCACTGAAGGCTCAAATTCAATCTCTGTGTTTACTCACTGCTTTGAAAATACCATTCACCCAAATAATGATGATGATAGCAATAATGCACAAGGCATATATTGTATCACAAGTGCCAGCTTTACTGGTGCAACATTTCTGCGCCTGATTATGGGCAATTCCCCCTTCACACTGCAGCCCTCTGCCACATAGCTTTTTCAGGAAGGTCCTGCAGCCCTGGGAAGAATGTTTTCAGGGCCACACAGAACTGCAAGGGACAAAACGACAAGGTATCTTCAGCTCATGCAACCGTTGGGTATGAAATGTTGCTGATCTTGTAAGTTAGCCCAGTTGATCCATTGATCTCATATCCATGCATAGCAAGATATACAGTGATACCTCAGGTTAAGAACTTAATTCGTTCTGGAGGTCTGTTCTTAACCTGAAACTGTTCTTAACCTGAGGTACCACTTTAGCTAATGGGGCCTCCCACTGCCGCCGTGCAATTTCTGTTCTCATCCTGAAGCAAAGTTCTTAACCCGAGGTACTATTTCTGGGTTAGCGGAGTTTGTAACCTGAAGCGTCTGTAACCCGAGGTACCACTGTATAGTCATAATTGATTCTGATGGTTTGTTGGGTTGTGCGTATGGGAGAAAAATATGGAGGTGTTATGCCTCACCCCCAGGAAAAAAAATAGAATGCCAATCATTGAAGAAGCTAAAATAGTAATATGCTTGGGAGGTAAGTGGCCTTTATACTTGAACTGTGTACCTGCAGAGCATATACTCCTCCTGGACTTCTCCACCAGTGATGTGTGAGTAATTCAGTCTTTCTAGATTTCAATATGAATTGACCTGTTCTGCACCTCCTCAGCTACTATTTGGATTGAACTTTTGTTATCTACCAGCTTTCTCACTTCTCAAATGTTCCAATGCAGTTCTCAGCTCAAAAACTGTATCAAAAAAGCTCCTTTTTAAAAACAACAACACAAAGTTTACTCTAATAGAAAACACATTTGCAAGCATGTTTCCTAAAAGGAACTATGTTTAATAATACATCATTAATAGATTTAATTATTTTAAAAAATTAAGAATCAGATTAATGCAGAAATAGGATGGGATGGGCCACTGAAATAGGATGGGACTTTCATCTCCATGGTGATTATAACATTTGTAATTATCAAAATGCATTCAATGTTGTTATAATTTTATTTTATTTATTTTTGAGAGAGAGAGAGTTGTGCATGCTGAAGTAGAAACAAGATATCCGAATAATCTCTTGTTTTTCACTTACCTTACAGTTATTGGCTGACCAACAAGGTTTTCATCAAGCGACCTAGCACAGGACTCCTCATGTACACACTTGCTACGAGGTTCTGCGATGAAATTCATCTCTATGGATTCTGGCCCTTCCCAAAGGATATAAATGGAAAGCCCGTCAAATATCATTATTATGATGACTTAAAGTATCGATTTTTTTCTAATGCCAGCCCACATAGGATGCCATTAGAGTTTAAAACTTTAAGTATGTTGCATAACAGAGGAGCACTTAAATTGACGACGGGGCGGTGTGCGCAGCAATAAAGCACAAGTCGAGGACTAGGAGAAGTGCCAGATCTGGGCTTCGCCATGCAGATTTTATGGAAGAGCAGTGGGATCAAAACAGTGGATTTATCCCTGTGCGCTGTACCAAGCCATTGGAGAACAAGGAAGTGCACCGGAACTCCCGTACCAGCGAACCTTTTTACCTGTTGAAGTGCTAAATCTTGAGTGCAATGGTTCGAGTAAGTGCCACTTTCTCTAAGAGCAAAGCTTGAATGTATAAAATCAGTAGTGTTTACAAGATCCAACGATGCATTCATCACCTGTTAAAGAAGCAAATAGTCCATTTACTGCTCATTTGCCAACACAAAGTCTGGCAGCGTGTAACGAAATACCCAAGAGGTGGGGTCTGCCCTGAAGGAAATACTTTGCATTTGGCAGCAACAATCAAGGTGGAATTGGCAGAGCAGTGGATAACATCACAAACATCAAGCAAAATACCTTCAGCCGGGGCCGTCCCTGGCTTTGTATTATAACCTTTCTCTTTTTCCTCCCTGTTTTTAAAATTGTCATTCATTTTCTATGGTGTTTGGGTATTGGAGCCCCTTAAGGGATTTTGACAAGATAATACTATGAACATTTTAAGTAATCTTCAAGAAGTGGTCTTAGAAGATCTTATTTTTTAAACAAAATCTTCATTGCATCTTATTGCTCAGCTTACGCATTGCAGCTGAAGTTGCCTCCACGTGACAACTTGCTGCTGCTGTAACACATAGAGCCAGTCATCAGGTTTTGCCCCCGCAGCCCCATATCTCAGCACCAGCCACTTCTAGGAACATGTTCTGCTGGGGAAGGCGATGTCGGGATGTGTATGGGAAATGGGAGCGGGGAGGGTCATCTCACTAGGTTGTTCTGGATGGTATAACTTGCTGAAAAAAGCTTAGGATCTCCCAACTGCTTTTAGGTGCTTCTTTTAGGGTGAACTGCATGTTACAATAAACACACAACAAAAGTGTGCTCAAACTTCTGAACAAAAAGCAGCTGTGTAGTCACAATCCGGACTGGTGACACATTCCACATCAGGGCTCCAAACTAATTTTTCTGCTAACCTCTTCTCTCCAGCTGCTGATGGCTCCTGAATGTATTTAGGAAAACGCCATACAAAATACACGGTGTGTACAAACTTGTATAGAGTATACATTGTTATCTTTGGGAGACAAATCGCAGGAAGGGCAAGGAATTTTCCACAGGATACTGTCCTGATCTACGTGTGTGTTCCAGATCCCAAAGTTGCTTTTTCTTCAAAACAGAAGTAGTTTAAACATACTTCTTTTTTCTGAAATTGTGTTTATCGTAACATTTAGTCTGGCCTAAAGTACAAACTTAACAGAAGCTAAATTGCAAGTTAGCACTTTTAAACAATCTGATGTTTTGAGCTGTCTTTAAGGCAAGATTTTTGTTATGAAGATGATATTGTTAACAAGCAGGTGCCCTTACATTTGGTACCAAAGATTATGCTGATTTTGTAATCGATGTAGATTTGTTTTCCTTCAAATGATGAAAACGTGTAAAATTTAGTACTTGTTGCTGTGCTGCTTTAGAAACTGTTTTCAGTCATTTTTTTGTTTATTTGTTTACTACTAACTTGGTGTCTAGATTTTGTTTGAAGGACAAATTCCTTAACTTGACTTTGCTTTTTATATATGCCTTGAAAATTTGAAAGAGATGCTTTCCCTTTAAAAAAAAAAAAGCAGACTATGACCATAATATTCTTGAATCAAAATATTTAATCAGAATTAATGTAAGTTATAAATATCATTGAAATGTCAGAGTCTGTATAGTTTAGCTGGCATAGTGGATTTTGTTTTTAGTTTACAAAACCACTTTTAAAATGCAGATTCTTCATAGTGCTGGACAATATGTGCATTATTCTCGTTCTATAGCATCCTGATGAGCAATATGTGAAAATACCACTGACGAGTTCCCTTGCCTTTTCACTTCTTTGAAGCTCCACTTTCTATATGGGGCTGTGTTTTTTGTTCTGAGACAGCAGACAATGAGAATTACTAATGGTTTTGTATGAACAAAAAGGGTTGTAAACAGAATGGCTGTAAATCTAGAGTATCAAAGCACAACTGATGGAGTGACTTCAGAAATGCATGCTTGGGAAACAACCAGTGGTTCTCTCATGTGGTTTCACCTGCAGATTTCTGCCATATAGAAGAAGAAGAAAAACAAATGCAGAATAAATCTTCATTTTAGCCCTTTTCAGATATTCAGGGCCTTTTCACACACACTCATATGACCTGCACATATTTAGTGTGTTGAAAGGAACAGACAGGACCTGCACAGGTTTTAGTGCTCAATGCATAATAGTCTGAGAGGGACCTCAAGACAAAGGGAGTGTAGCCTATGTGCATGCCTGCATCTCACTACTCACTTTTAACCCTTATGTGTTCAGACCAGTGCCTGAAGAGAGTGATACAATGCTGTGTAGAAGGAAGGGTGGGCTGATTATGCCATTCCCAAATGCATGGAATAATCTGCAGGAACCTACCAGGCCAACAAGTCTGTACCTAGTCCAGCATCCTTTTTGCTGCAGTGGCCAACCAGGTGTCCACAAGCAAGACCTGAAGGCAAAAGCCTTCTCTTTCTCTTTTCCTAGAGTGCATATTCAGTGGCATTCTGCCTCTTTTCTCATCAGGATATTCATACATTGGATGAAACGGATAAACCCATAAAGGAATGTGATTTCCCCTGCCCACCAGGAAACTATGAATAGTAAAATACTGCTTGTTGATTTTTGCAGCATAGGCAGTGAGCTTAGCCATTGTTATCATTAATTTCTACTATTCTTTTCCTTACAAAAGGAAGCCCATAGCAGAGAGAGAAAACATTTTTTGAGGGAAGTGTAGGCTTAAAGATTGGTTTTGTAAACTCCAAAGATATTACTGGAAAACGTATGGTGTTTTGGATGACACACAGACAAAAATAGTCCAAAATAAGAATTCCTTAGGCTGCTTAATGACCATAATAGTAATGTTGGCATGTTTCATTATGAAATATAGTAATGTTAGAGCAGTCTAGTTAGACTGATTTTTCATAAAAGGTGTTAGATTTCACACAATCACCTTAAAGAAGTTGAGACTAGTGCCTTTTTCATCCTCAGGCATAACTTCAATCCTATTACTTAATTCTTTTGTGTCATATTTTCCTCCCCTTATCTAGACTATTTCCACACGTCTATAAAGGGCTAATAAACTGGTTAACAAAACCACTTTTATGTTTTGCATCTCAGGGAAATATCAGTTTTCCAATATAAACACAACAGGAAAAGATAGAATTGAAAGTGGATGAAAGCCTATCATATTACATAAAAAAGAAGAAGCAAGGTTTTCATGAAATGGAATGAGGCTGCAGTCCTATGCACCTTGGAAGAATTCAAGGGGACATTATGGGATTGCACCATCAGGCTGCAATCCTATGCAAGTTTAGTTGAGAGTAAACACCGCTGGGCACAATTGGACTTACTTCTCAGTAGAAGTGCATAGACTTGGGAGTGTGAAAAAAAGCCACTTAGATGAAGAATAAGGATGATTTAAAAGATGCTAGGAAAGATTTAAATGATGGAATGGTCTGCTTAAAATACAATGTTGCAGTGTTTGGCTCAGCATTTCATTTAGGTCTCGTTTCATTGAAAATCTAAAATGACAGTAATTTTAAATCCGGATGTCACAACTGTCTTTTTTTATGCGCGATGCCATTTTGGGTCCTCCAGCCCCTTCATTGTTTGCATATTATGCAGAGACCATGAGCTTCTTTTTTCTTTGTCAGAACTCTGCTCTTAGTTACATGAGCACAGATTCTGGAATTTTCCCTGAATGGCAGGAGCCCTGCATTTCACCAATGGGATATTGGCAAAAACTTCTCACATCCTGCCCTGTGTCTTTGCCTTGAGCTTTTACTATATATCTCTTCTCTTGAGTAGTAAAAACTATCACCATTTAAGATCTACATTCCCCGTTGAGATCAAGCCCTAGAGGAGCCATCCACAACCCAACACCCTCCCAATGTTTTGGACGACAACCCCCATCAGCTTCAGCCAGCATGACCTTGTTGCTTGGGTCTGATGGGAATTGTAGTTCAAAAAACATGGAGAGCACCAGGATGGGGAAGGCTGTCCTAGAACTTAAAGAGTCAAAAAGGTAGCCTATAGAAGCTTGGGCAAGGTTACAGTTAGTGGGATGTACATTTGCTCATCACATTGCAAAAAATTTAAAGTGTTCAAATGCAGGTAAGGAATAAATGGCTTCTTTGTTTTCATAATTTTTCCATAACATATATTTGTTGCTTGTTTCCTACCACAAATAGCTACTGTGATAGAGAATCATAATTGACCAGCACTATCTCCAACACATACCCAGTGGTTAAAATCTGATCCCTTAATGCAAAACTGTAGGAACAGTCTCTTTAGAAATGCACAGGAAGAAAGGGAATTTGTTTTCATTCAGATAATTTTACTTGTGAAGACTTGTAAATCATAAAGCGGTGTTTTATAATTTGTGTTGTTGTTTTTTTTGTTTGGAGCTCTGGAGCTCCTAGATTAATGAAGATAAATGTATAATATATTCATGTTTATCCTTTGAGGAGATTCTCCTTTTTATTCCCTTTCTAAAATGTGAAGACTACTCAACGTTTCCATTGAGTTTGGAGTCTCTCTCTTCAACAATGCCAGAATAACGTCCCACGAAAAAGAAATACAATGTAATGGAACTAAACGAAAATGAATGCAATTGCTAGCTAGTATTCTGTTTGCATGTGCACATTTGATACCTTGAAAGACCATAAAAGCGAGGATTCGAATTAGTCTGCTTTGTGGCAACTTTCAGTACTGGTTACCCACTGCCTTCAGCAAGTGTGGAAGTTATGCAGCTTCTTAGATCCTACAAGGCTTAGATAGGCTGTGATCCAATGAGATAACACCTATTCAGACAAGCAATAGTGGTGTGTGCACTGACGACAAGTTTCCGTTCAGACCCCAGTTTTGCCCTTCAGACAACAGTCCAGGGACCATCAGCTCAAGGACTCAAGGACCTGGTATTTCAGTCCACCACCTCCACCCCAGTATCTGAATTCACTATTGGGAATAGTGAATTAAAAACAGCTATAACTCATTTTGACAGTGGATGAAATTTGCAAGTCCCTTCAGAGTGGATAGACCCTTCAAAATTACTAGCACATTGGTTTTCGAGCTTTTGTGCTGGGCACAATTCCTTTTGTAAAGGAGATATCTCTAGTATTTCATTTGGAGGGCAGAATTGGAAGACATTTACAGACAACATTGCCCCTTCTCAATCTATTACTCCTGCTAAATTTCAGAAGAATGTCTCTTAAAGTTTTAGGATAGGTAAAAAAGGAATCCCTTAATCTCCCAGGCTAGTGTCTTGAGGGCAATAGGTCTGAAAATCGTAGATATGAAAGCTGCCTTTGGGTAAAAAACCAACCAAATTCCAGGTGAATAGGTCTGGGGCCTTTTGTGTTAAGCACCTGTGACATTTATTGGGGGGGGGAGGGAAGATGAACAAAACGGTTTTCACTTTTGGGGTAAAACCATTCCCTCTGATTATAATCTTGATTTGACATTCATAGCAGAGCTCTTCCTCTGCCCCCTTCCCACCATGGTGTCTGCTGTCCATTTCCCCATCACTTAGAGACATTACTTTTGCTTTTATCAGATGCTTGTCTGCAGCATTTTTTGACATTTGGATTGCTGAGGCGCCGTGAAATGCTTCAGGGCTGCCTATTTTTATTCATGACACCTTGAAAAGAGCCTGCTTTGCTTCTGTAAAGCTCAAAATCTCTCCAAGGCATCCTTCTTCAACTTGGGGTTCTGGTTCTGATGCACACCCCTAATATATTTCACAATTAGCCTTTCCATAAATATTCCAGTATTTCAATTGCTAAAGCTCTGGTCCTTTTTCTTTTTTTGTAAATGACATGTGTTGCAGGTTGAAGAATGGGGCAACTGACTTTAAAAAAGACTGAAAAGTTTCATTATAATTTAAAAATATGTGCTCCAATCCAATGGGAGGGGACAGTTACAAACAAGTATTTGCATGTGTGTTTCCTGGGCCAAAAAGTTCCAGTGTCTGGATCAGACATTGAGCTCTATGAAACAGACACTCATTATCTGTTTCTCCTATTAGATTGAGATGGTGGACACATATCTCTGGATCTTGGTGCAATTTCACTTTTTTCCCCTTTCCCCTTTCTTTTTTCTTTTTAAGAGCACTGTTACCCTGGATAGGCAAAAGCACAACTGTTTTAACTGTATATACTAAAGGAAGCAAGTTTGCCAAAACCAGCCTTCCTGGACAGTACTACTGCTATCGAGCTCCCATTTGTGTGCACTGTTGAGATGTATTCTGTCAGGATCATCTTGTCTGATGCTTTTTTATTATTATTTTGTGTACAGGAGTTGTTGTTAATTCTTTGTTACTTGTACAACCTGTAAAATAAATTAAAACTTTTTTTCCAGTACTTCTTTTGTTGAGGTTTTTGTACACAATAATTTCATTTCACCGAAAGCCATAAATAGAAAATTAACACATACAGTGGTACCTCGCAAGACGAATGCCTCGCAAGACAAAAAACTCGCTAGACGAAAGGGTTTTTTGTTTTTTGAGCTGCTTCGCAAGACGATTTTCCCTATGGGCTTGCTTCACAAGACGGAAACGTCTTGCAAGTTTGTTTCCTTTTTCTTAACACCGTTAATACAGTTGCGACTTGACTTCGAGGAGCAACTCATAGAACGCGGTGTGGTAGCCTTTTTTGAGGTTTTTAAAGACTTTGGTGATTTTTGAAGCTTTTCCAAAACTTTCCCGACACCATGCTTCGCAAGACAAAAAAAAATCGCAAGACGACAAAACTCGCGGAACAAATTAATTTCGTCTTGTGAGGCACCACTGTATCAGGATCACCTCTCTCTGTATGAACCTTCCCATCCTCTGAGACCCTTTTTCATGAGCCTCCTCCATGAGAGGTCCAGAGGGTGGAAACACAAGAACTGGCCTTTTCTGCAGTGGCTCCCCATTTGTGGAATGCTCTCCCCAGGAAGTTTTGGCTGGCACCTTCATTATACACCTTTAGGCACCAGGCAAAGACATTCATTTTTAACCAGGCCTTTTGGGCTGATTGACACTTGATGCCTTTTAAATGTGTTGCGCGCTGAGTTCCCCCAAAACACCCCTACCCCAATAACTCAAACATCACACATAATTTTTGTTTAAGGTTTTTGGCATAATTTTGGCCACAACTTTATTAAACATACAAGATGTGAGTGGTTGCTTAGGCATTGGTTATGACTATCTGCCCCCCCCCCCGCCTGGGGACAGAACTGACTCCCGGATTCCAGCGAAAGCCAGTGAGGGGAAACAAGATCGGGGATAACTGGAGCTGCAACACAGACCCTCAGCTTCTCCCCGCATGCTCCCAGGGGCTTACACGGCCCAAACCCAATTCCAAGGGTTTGGACGAAAGGATGGTAAGCCCCTGAATTCCTTTAACGGAATTCCCTTGCAGCAGCAGCATTGGAGGGGCAGGCCCAGCCAATCCATACCCCTCCTCCAACCAATTTAAACCAATGCCTAACCGCCAACCTTACAAGTTGTGACGATTTGCTACGCAGTAGGCAAAAAACCAAATGGCACTCACTAATCAGCCAGATGGCAAAATTCCTACCGGGCCCCTTCCCCAAAAGCAGACGACCCCATGACAGGCATAGTAAGGTCAAAGCACAAGCCCAAAACAAGGGAGGGCAGGCGGGTGATCCAGTGCCCACAGCGAAAGAGAAAGCAGATCACTGTGAGCACTGTTTAAATAATCTCTGTTCCCACCCCCAAATTGGCAACATCAATTTTACCCCAGCAACACAAACAACCAATCCTTGCCAGGCCCCTCAATCCTAACCTGCCTGGCAACTACAGGGTGTCTTGCTTGGCCCCATCCGCAAAACACGCTCTCTTTTAATGAGAACACGCTTTAAGGGAGGGGGCATTATGGATTCATTTTTGCTTTTATTTCCATTATGTATATTGTGTTTTTCATATTGTGATTTAATGTTGTGAACTGGTCTGAGATTTACGGCTATAGAGCAATATACAAATTTAATAGATAATAATAATAATCCTGTTAGATTTTGTAACACTTCTGTAGAATTCTAAGGCCTAATATACAATGAAATTAGCATATTTATCCAGGATTCATTGGCTTTGGCGCCACCTACTATTGACTTCTCTGCCTTTGACCCTACTGATCTCAGTGGACACCAGCCACCATTGCATAATGGTGATTTGCTATTAGGAAAAAATGGGCAAGCAGTTGCATAGTTTGGGTTTTCTGCTTGAATCCATTCAGTACAATGGCATAGATGTCACTGAGCACAGCTGTGTAAGACTTTACCAAATAATTGCCATCATTGCAATCAAATGGTACACATGACTTGACAATCACTGTGCTAGTCTTCACACTGGAGGGAAAAGTGTGAGAAGCATTACTTGCAAGGAGACAAGTGACACTGTGAATACACACACACACACACACACTTACCATCATGATCCGCCCATGTTTTCCAATATAAACAAGCAGGGTATCTATACTGGCTTCAGATTGTAAAACCAAAAGTGTCTTCTAAATGACTCCTTCAATAAGACCTTCATATTGCTTCTTAGAAAGCACCCTTCCACATGCTTAGAACAACCCCTTTGTCCTTTCTTGTTTGATACCTCCGTTTATGTGAGGGATCAGAAAAACAACTGGAATACTGAATCATCTTCTTGTCCTTCAATTTTCCCTTTTGCTTCTATTCTCAGCACTTTATTATTGATTGATTGCCTCCTTCACTTACTTGCTGTTAAGCACTTAGGAGACCAGAACACATGGCTGGTAGGTATGCTTGAAGACTTTTGCCTGGTTGGTCCTAGGTAAGCCCTTGAGAATCTGAAATCATCACATGCAAATGTGTTGGTTGAGTCCATCACCAAGTTTTTTGTGGAACACTTTACCACCTGACCTTATTCTGGTTATCATCTTGGTTTCAATTCTTGCCAGAAAGAAAACAGCAGATGGACCACTTAAATTACTAGCAATGGTATATTGGAAAGTTTTTGTTTTTGAAGATTACTCTTATTTTTATGGGACCACCAAGGGATCCAAAACACAGAGAAAACAGTGATTCTGCTCTCCTTGGTTAATGCACCACACCATTATGTTAATTTATACCAGGCTTCCTCAACCTCTGCCCTCCAGATGTTTTGAGACTACAATTCCCATCATCCCTAACCACTGGTCCTGCTAGCTAGCGATTGTGGAAGTTGTAGGCCAAAAACATCTGGAGGGCCGAGGTTGAGGAAGCCTGGTTTAGATCATAAAGCAGGGGAAGAGACGTGTTATCTGGGTTCATCATTGTATGGACAGACACTGCTTAGGGGTGAGTTTATTCTGCCAAAAACAAGGATTAAAGAATCACCCTGAAAAAATATATGTTTCTCTGATATTCCAAATCTTAATCCAGAATCAACAGTTGATTTGGCCTGTGCAAGGTCCCTTTCATAACTCCAAAACATTTGTTTACACCAAAGCTTTATATAGCAATAGAGGGAAATGTTTAACTATCCATTAGGCTGACAAATGCATGAACACCATAAAAAGACAGCTTGCCTCAGCTACCTCTTAATTTGACAAAATTAGAGAATTAATGTAGCCTTTCCCCTCTAAAATACATGATTCAATCAGAGGCCCCCACCACCTACAGCTTCTCCGGTGCATAATGCTTTTTCAAAGAAATTATCTCATTGTAGCTGGCTAGTTTGGAGGGAAAAAATTACAAAGCCATCCATCACTGTCCATGAATGAGATAAGAGTATTAATGTGGAACCTGTTTATCTCCATTCAGGTATAAAATTACAATTATTTTAACATTAATTCTTACCATTCTGTGTTTTTCTTTGCTCTCAAGGGTTATCAGTTCACAAATTTGCTCCTAATGCATAGCTAATAGCAAATCTTTTTCCCTCATTAAAATAGGCCCGTGATATTCTCTCTCAGGAGCTCCTGTAGGTCTGGGCTATTACGCAGAGTGCACAGCATGCTAAACCGCCATCTTAAGTTCACGTTGTTGGTGACAGCAGAGCTTGACAAAAGGAATACTGCCAAAAAGTAATAAAATAATGCCCAAGAGAAAATATGCAGTCAAGAAAATATACTGCAACCCCACAAAGTTACAACAAACCATCATCAAATAATGCAAATCATATTTTTGTGGCTGCTTTGTAAATCTCAGGCAAGACTGGGCCCACCATCAGACACAGTGAGGAGCTAATTTGGGGTGTCATGAAAGGCTAGCTATTTTTTATATTAAAAAAAACTTTTTATCTTTTATAGGTATTATACAGAACAAGAAGATTCAATAAGCTCCTCTCTGCCCCACATGGAAGAACAGATTCATACAAGAGATACAGAAAAGATGTCATTTGAAAGTCATCCTACTAAGAGATGTTAAATAAAACTATCTGTCCACAATTTGCTGGTGGTTGATAGTCATGCTCTTTATATAAGCATATGCCAAAAACAGCAAATCATGTGTTCTGGAACGTGTCTCTTTTGTCTATTCTTTGTTCACCTAGTTTCCAGTCAATTTATCCATTAGTGCCATGTCCCCGATTTGATTCAGCCACATTTTATATAAGTCAACATTTAGAGTTCTTCATTTCCTGGCAATGGCTAAGCGAGCAGCTATTATCAATTGTAATATAAGCTTTTTAGATGAAAATTATTCAGCATCTCCTTCAAACATAAATAATAAAGGAATTTTGGGACTGAGATCTACATGTTGTTTACTTATACTACTTAATTCACACACAAAAAAATTTCCAAAATGAGCAGAAAAATTCACCACATGTAGACAAATGAAGCTACATTTTTAGAGTTTCTTCAGCAAGTTTTTGGGAGAACGTCATTGATTTTATTGCATAAACCATCTATGAGTGAGTTTTAGTGTATTTTACCTCACTTCATCTGAAGAAGATCTAAGAGAAAACTTCTCCCGGATTCTATTCCAGGAAGCCTCATTTATAGTATCGTTCAAATGTCTCTCTCAGTGGAGTTTGAGAGCATTTAAAGGTCTGGAAGAAAAAGTGGCCAATGAGCTGTGGTATATATTATATTTCCAGGGGAGTTAATGACTAGGTTGTCTGGGGTGTGATTTTTTTCCCCCTACAAGCACATTTTAAATTTAAAGTCTTTAATAATAGGTTTAAACTTTTCAAGTAAAAGTAAGTTTCTTGGAATCAATGTACACAGATCTTTTGTGTATGTTTTCTCAGTGCTAAGTCCAGTAATGTTGTGTAATTTATCTCTTAATTCCTGTCAGGTGTGAATACTTAGCAGATCAGAGTTAGATACATTTACGATAAAGCCAAAAACAGAGCCATACAGTTTTAGTTCCTGCAAAAGTGAGGTTTCATATTTAGTAATAATCAATG